GTAGTAACTCTATTGTAACATCGGAAAGTTAAAGGTAAAATTAAATTATTCTAAGATCTTATAAGAAAAATGAATCATAAGAAAGGTTCGTCAAAATTGTGTACTTAGTGTTCTAGATTTCTATTACATTTACATGAATTGGTAGGTTCGCATATGTATAAGGTCAAGTCCACAACTGTAAGTGAAAGTAAGTGAAGTAAGCAGAGTCGCAAAGAGTCGTGAGACTTTTGTAACGTGGGTGACTGAAATTGAATGGGTCATTGACCGTGTTCAGATTAGAAACAATAAATAATAATAGAGTAAGTATAGAGGCAATGAGAAATGGTTAGTATATACTGTGGTAAAAAGAACTTGAAATTAAAAAGTTTATTACAACATGTTGATTGTGGTCAATTTAGTTTGCAAACATTGACTACAATATTCATTCAAGTCATTTACTGCTTAGATTAAACAAGGAAAGTCGGGGTTTAATAGTTCCATTGTTACCAATGTACCATATCAGATAGACATCCACGCGGTCCCCTAACAACCATAGTGGTTATTTCTTGGTGAATTCGCCACGATGGGCTAACTAACCTGACTTTATTCTCATCATATTGTCTTTCATTAGTGACCAGCACCATTCCATTATCATCCATAAAAAAATATTAAAAATAGTCTGAAAGCAAAAGTGTAGGTATTAATACTCATTACAGAGCTACAGTCTTTCTAACAAGTGTAGTTGTTATGTAGCCTTCGAATAATATTATTACAATCAAGATAACGGTCTTACTAATAATACAAATGCAAAAGTGTGTCTATTTGTGTATTTCTTACCTTTTCACCACTAAACAGTTGAACGGTTCTGAATAAAGAAAGACAATGTTACACGGAGGGACATAGGCAATCTTTTATTTAAAGAAAGCAGACGAAGTCACGGGATATAGCTAGTTTCTTTATATTTGAATTGAAGAACTAGAGCATGACTCATACTGCTGTATATTAATGAAACAGCGCCATGATTCCATTAATGATAATCATTAAACTGAACCAACGAAAGTGGAAGCGAAAAAAGTTGGAAGTCACATTGCTATTTTTAACAATACAATTTTTAACTCACGATTTGTTAAACCAACTTTCTTTTATTATAACCAATTGTTGATTTGGTAAATTATATCATAGTTTATTACAGACACATTTAATTCTTTTTAGAAATGAAGCACGTAATTTCTTTGTCATTCGCACTTATTAGTAGTTAACATAGTAATGTCATAAATACTGATATATACTTAAATACATATTTTCTTTAAATAAATACATTATTTGTGAAGAAATCACTCGACCAATATAAACAATAATACTCATGATTGGGATATATATATGTTTGGGACGTGCGAGGAATCAAACCCGCGACCCCACCGATGTAATATTGTTACACAACAATATTACATCGGATGTACAAGTAAGTCGGAGTGCTAGACTACCGAGGTCGTCAAATAAAATCTATTTTATAACCAATTGTAACTAGAGCAATTTGTTGGATCAATAAATTTCATATCATTTCATTTAACAATTACTTTTTGCACACTTCTATTTTACCATCCACCTTTCCTACTTACGTGCGTATATGCTCATACCGATATCGATTTCATCATACGAGCTAGCCGGTTAAGCCGGTAACTTGCAGTTTAGCCTCTCTTTATTTCTGGATACTGTAAATTCAAACCACCGTGCCATTAACCTTTAAAGGAAACTGAGTTAAACCCATCAAAAGTTGAAGTGCAAGGGCACACCCAGCAATTATACTGTGAACCGCATACTTTAAAGCGAAACATACCACAAAAACTTTAAAGTAACCGAAAGAGTTCCGGCTCTGGTATACACTTTCTCCAGATCCCATGGCCCAGTTGATTTGGTGTGAATGCACCAACCCGTTTAGCAGGAACGCCCAAATATATGATGATTAAAATGGATCGTACTAGTGGTCAGTATCGATTCCTGCCCAATTAAAATGCTCTGTTTCTATCTTGTTTTTATTCACTATCATGCTATAGGTCTATTTATTTGTATATAGAATATATGAAGGCTATGAAATATAAGAAGATATACGTAATTACATCATCACGGCGTCATGATGATGTGCTTAGCGGAGAACTATTCGATACTGCACATTACTCCAATTGTGTTCACTTATTTTTTAATTTACTCTTGTAATGTGTTCATATATGTATATAACATATTTTCTTATTCTTCTTCTTGTTTCCCTATACTTAATCATTTGTCCTGAGTTACAAAATGCCAAGACGCCACTAGTTAATATATGGAATTTGGAATTGGACTATTGTAGGTTTATTAGTTACACAAACGTCCGCTACGAACGGATTTGAGGTCACATCTAGTTTCTTAAAGAATATGATAATTTAGAACATAACATAAATCAATAATTTCAGATTACCTGTATATACAAATAATTTCAATACTTGTTACAAATCCTTGTACGCACAAATTCTTTATAATTTTAATAATGTAAACATAACGTTTTTAATGTATTACACAACAATATTAATGGTCGTTCCCTGCGCCTTATAATACGCCCTATTGTTCTACAAAATCATATAATTTACAAAAGCGAAATGTTCGCAAACTTTCCTTTTCAAATTCCTAAAATGGGGTTAAAGGGATAAGCCCTTCTCCGCACTGTGACCTCTTCACCCATACACTTTCATTATACCGGCGGTTTTATTACTTTTACTAGGATTCTCGCGACTATAAAACATACATATATACACATAAAATAGAGAATATCAATCTCATTCTCATTTTGATAGAGATAGACTTTGTAAAAGAGATGTCTGCGTGGGTACTTAAGTCAAGCAGCTTGCTTTGTAAGCTTTGTTTCGGTTGAAGGTTGAGATAAAACAGTGAAATTACAGGATGAAAGGAATGATATTTTAATAGAATCCGTCCGTGATACTACTCGTACATTTCGGAATAGCAATGCACGAGTAGTATCACGGACTTCGTAACGTCACATGATAATGTGAGGCTGTGGTGTTATTCGTGTAAACAGGCTTACCACTTACGATCAGATGAACCGTCCGGTTGGGACTCAAACTTTGTTCTTTTTACAGTCACAATGGCACAGTTTTTAGATAATCTACTTATTTATGTGTATATATTATTTTTTAAATTAGGTACTTTATATATTGTGAAGTATACTGTTACACAAAGAACGTTTACTAAAATAAACGCGTGTGGATAAGTAATATTCATAAATGTTGCTATATAGTAATAATATTTATAGCGACTTGAATAACCTCTGTTGATGAACTCGCTTTTAAAGTCATAATTGATATATTGTAAATTATTGATATAACACAAAAAGTAGAATGGCGTTTACAGTTTGAATTGATAATAATTTACGTAGAATCTCGTGGGTACACGCCGACAATGCGGCGTCACCGTCACCGTCCGCCCCCGATCTAATGGGAAACTGGGCCTGCGTTTGTAATCAAAAGTAGGTTCATTATGGGAACGCGTTGATAGGCTTCATAATTTGTGTTAATAAAAAAATATACATACCTACTTAATGTTTGACTCATTTGAAACGTGCCAGTCATAATTATAAAATTATTCTTTTCATGTTAACCCTGAGTAAAAAATAAAACTATAATAAAATGTAACTAAAAATCTTCTTGATCAAATCAGATTTTTCAAAATCAATCAAAATATCTTTATAATATAATAGACCTACAGGAATAATCCTGTAGGTCTATTTTATGATATATCTAATCTACCGAACTCAGAATAACTGACAAGAAACACAGCTCTTTTTGCGTTGGGATGATTAAAAACTGTTTTTATATTTTATTTATTTTAAATAACCCAGTAATGAAATAAAACTAAACTATTGTAACTAAGAACCATATCTGTCAGTCATTTAACAAAAAGAACACATAATAATCAGTCTATTCGTTTAGGAGCTACAATTCCACAGACAGACACACAGACACGTCAAACTTATAATACTTCTATATTGCGTCGGGGGTTAAAAATAAAATCATGTACCTGACCCTGGATTTCACAAACAATACACGAAATATTATCTTATACAAATGTAGTTGAGTTTCAGTTTCGTTTTGTAATATACTTTTATCTGTGGTTTAGGTATGTACACTTAGGTAGCTATTTTGTAGCATACGATATCGCCTAGACGTATCTGTATGCGCTATTACGATCTGTCAAAATATTGACACGTCTATTATGTTTCATGTTAAATGATTCTGAAATATTTATTAATGACTTTCGCTTTTGAATTTGCATGGCTACAGTACATTACGTTTCTGTTATCTTGATATTATTAATAGAAAATGAAATTATTATTATGTATTCACATAAACATTGAGTTTTATTTCATATTGTCATTTATATATAAAGATAGTAAAATTATCATTTCGTGTACTATATTTTATTTACATATTTTTATTATATTTATCTTTAATTTTATTAATAATTTTACTGAAATAAGAAAGAATTTGGAGATGGTGTCAAAATTGGGAGTCCAGATCTATGTAGTACTTAATGTAGTACGTACAGTAATTTTATTATATCTTTTATATATATACATAGTCTTCATAACAATTAATATTAATACATTTCTATCTGAACAAAAAACATAAATATATTAAACATTAACAATGAAAAAAATATGTATTTGTAACATTGTAGTATTTATTTTATTGAACTAAAACTGTACAACCGATCATGCTCTCTACACACTTTCTATTTTCTCACATAAAAAGGCAATAAATAAGGTTGTCAACTATTTACTCATCCTCGGAAAGTATGTAAATATATATTATATGCAAATAGTTACTGTAATATCCTAACATTGTAAGTGTTCACTTTCCCCATAACGCTAAGTACCATAACATTGTAACACCAACGTTTGTACTTTCGTAACGCGACCCGGATGGTAAAATGAGACAACTTCTAATTCTGTGTTTTTTTTTCTTTCACAGAGGATGCGGGCGCGGCGCGGACTGACTATAGGCGTTCTTCTCATATTACATATGGTGATATTATTTACTGATATGCGGAAAACTTTCACACGCACCCTAATATTGGCTAAGGTTTAGTGACATGGAGTTTGAACAACTATATTACAATAACAAACATTTTTTTAATGAAATATCATGCTATTGGTTATTATGATTCATACATCATTAAACGTACCCCATCGGATGTCATAAAATTGTCCTTAAAATTTTCTTCAAAATTTCATTGAATTTGTTGCATGTTCCGAAAGAGAAATGTACTTCGTTTCACTTAACACTTACTGAATTGACCTCCTGAATTCAGACACTCTTATATTATAAGTAATATGCTATTACTATCCTGAACCACTTCACTTCACATCATACATCATAAACTTATATTGGGGCTTCCTTTTATCTCAAGTCCTTTTATTTAGGGCTTCATTGCGTTTGTTTTCTTACACTACGAGTGATCTTCACCTTAAGAGCTACGGTGTCCTGTAACGGTGTCCAGCGATGCTTATATGTGTAGGTTGTACCCATTACCTTCAATGGGAAATAAGCGCAAGTTGTGGAAAGTGGCTACCATCGTCTAAAGATCCGAGTGAAAACTGCTTTGTGGTCGCAGCATAAGTTATTATATACTATAACATTTAATTATTTGTAATACGCAAGTTTTTAACCCACTTTCTTCTGTCCGAGCAGGGTATATTGATGGACAAGATAAAACAGCGTACATCCTTCTCTATCACATATTTAATTATGTTCGAATGACAAATCTATTGATGGTTGAGTAAACCGTCCATTTCTATTAGCCTCTACATTTAATCACAAATTATATAATTTACTTCTTTATAAAATTAATTTAAAAAAACACAGAAGAAGCAGTTGTAGTGAAAACCTTAACAATTTAAACTACTAAGCAGGTAGTAGGTATTATTTACCACGTATATATAGGATTTTTTCATCTCTATTTTAATAGTGGGTGGGGATAGTTAGTAATGGAATAGTTGATAGGTGGAATATATTATTGTGGGTTGATAGGCGGAATATATATAATTTATGGGTGTTAATTTACTAATAAATTGGAGGCGATAGAACTTTCTCTTCATATTATTTTCATAGGTTAATCGCAAGGATATATCATTAGATTACAAAATTGAATAGCATTCTATCATCGTCCATTTAAAAATAATATATGTATATGATTTGGTCACGCGGTTGGGAGTGCCAACAGTAGATTATAAGTTATCTCCCAAAGTATGCAAACTTTGCAATGTAAATTCATGTTAGCCCCAGGAGACAGTTTGTAAAGTTGAGTAAACGGTTTCTGAATATAAAATTACTTGTGAAACTTAATTCATGTGTAAGTTGAGTGCTGACTCGTACATTATCAAACTTCTCACATGGCCAACATAAACATACAAATAAAGTCTTGGTCTAATCTCATATAGAGCTTGCATTGTAAGATAATTTATTCTAAAATTAATATCATTGAGTAAACTAGTATACTTCAACTCAACAAAAAGTATACACTCTGTATGTATGTATTATAATATTAAACATCTTGTTTAAAAGTTAATAATGAAAAAATAATAAATAGAATTTTTGTCTTAAAAATATTCTGATCAACATTGTATATATTATTTACAAATATAAATTAACATACAAAGCTCAAAGTTTAAAATCCAGAGTAAAGAACAACTTGGTTGTAACCACTGATATCCAAAAAAATATATTTTAAAAAACATTTTTTAATCAGTACTAATCAAAAGTATAATACTTTTTATCTATTACTATTGACGATGTTGAAATTAATCATCGACATCATCGAACACTGAAGCGCAGTTTAGATTTTATCTACGATTAAGCATAAATTAACAGACCATAAAGAGCGATGTGCTTATTAACTTCACTCGGCCGTAATTGCTACGATCGAGTTTAAAAATAAAAGGAAGTCAGTTATCTGATTATGAATCAGTACGCCAGTTTGTTTCGAAGTGTTTCAAAATAAAAATATGATCACGACTATTATATTAGATGAGACCAGTAGGAGACATTAGTAGACTATTACTGTTATTGTTTATTTTATTCATTTTTTTAGGAATACACTTTCCTTATGTCAATACTCAACATGCACAGAAAATAAACGAAACGGTTGGCAAGATTTTTAATTTATTTTAAATGGTTCTTTTTTTATATTTTTTATTGATTACTTTAAGTAAGTAATATTCCCTTATAATAGTATCCTATTAGCGTCATATAACGATGGAATATTTGTTAGTGGTTCATGTATACAGGCATAGGTAACCAACTTGATTCCCATTAGTTGTAAATAAAGCTAGACATTGCCTAAAAATAAATTGGCTAAGTAGAGTAAATATATAATACGATTTTCCTTATTCCATTAATTCATATTATTAGATGCGCCAGCTTCTAAGGCAATCTCAAAAAGAAATTCTGAGAATAAAATAATTAAAAAAATAAATAGAAGGTAAACATCACTCTTATTTCGTACAACGTAATTAGGAGAAAGAAACAAACAACGAGACACGCGACAGTTGGCATTTCTAACAAATGCGTACAAAATAAATTTATTTCGTACGTAAGTATTTTTTATAATATTAAGGATAGACTATTCGAATTTTTAGGATAAATATTCAAAGGTGCAGTAGTGGTGTAGAAAGTTCTTTATTCAAATAAACTTAAATTTCTAGTTTATTGGAATCAAGAACTTTCAATTCTATACTATTCTTTTATAATAAAAGATAATTATTTATATTAAATATTAGAATAATAATTTAAATTACACGATTTAAACTTTTACTGTTTTAAAAACTGCAATTCATTTGAAGAGTCACTACTCACGTGTAATACGAGATGAGCATCGTATTTTTTTCAGTTCAAAATTAATCTGCACTAATATTAAAGAGTTAAAGTTTGTGAGTTTGAATGTTAGAGGTAATCGACGATACTCCGAATATTCTTTAAGTTTGATAGCTCATTTATCGAGCAAGACTATGGGCTGTATAATTTCACACTACGACTAATAGGAGCGGAGCTGTAATTAAATATAAAACGGGCAAAATGTGACGCAGATGAAGTTGTGCAGGTCAGTTAGTATACAAATATGTTGTTGACTCTATATATGGACTAAAATTTATTTCGATCTGGACTTAAACAAGGAAGTAGAGCGGCGCTTAACAGATGGAAAGTTAATGATTTTTAATCGACACGCACTTACCGTTTATGGCCCATCACTAGTGCACCGCCAACAAATCACCATGTCATTCGTCTCACTCGGTTATTTCACAAAATTACCACAATCGATTATTTTCTAGAATATATTACTTTACTATCGGAAGCAAAGATTGTAAAGATTCAAATAAAGTAAGATACAATAAAGTAAAGATTGTTTCTATTCTAATTTCGTATTTTATTGCAGTGATTTTACTTGCAATATATCGGTTGGTTTGTATGAGATATTTATAACTGAATTATAGGTATATCTTTTATAAATTAACCGAACCGATGACGTAAACAATTTTTAAACATGGTATAATTAAGATTATATTTTTGTTGAAAATTGCTCAGGTAATATCATGATATATTGAAGCACAAACTATATAGTTATACTTGGCAGACTGACTTCACTTTTATATATTCGAAAAATAAGAATAACTAAATAGGTAATGTCGTAACTGGCTTATTAAAAATATCATTTGTATTTAAGTTTAAGGCTGTAAATAATTTTGTTTACCTCCCTTTTTAAAAGTCCTTCAATAAATGTCCTACTCCGAGTATTTTCCTTTCCTTGTTTTTTATGTATACAAATACAATAATACATACATAAATATTGGTGTAATAATGAAATTAAAATATATGACCGATCAGGTATCTTAGTCTTCCAAATTGGCTAAGCATTACTGATATCACGGGTGTCACCTGTGGCCGTAATACTAAACTATTAATGTGTGATTATAACATGCCATAGGGTGGACCGTCAATATGTTTGCCATCATAATTATAGAAAAATTTGGGTACAAAAAATATCTCCTAAAGATTTCTTACCGATTTTTATGTTTACATTTAATAATATTTTATATACATCAATAACTTTCTTCAATCAAATTTATTATGGTATTAGACAAATAAATCAATTTAATCACGGAGATACTATATATGTATACTATTTCAATGTGTACCTACATTTGTTTGAATAGTTCTGGGGTGTGTCTGCAATGAAGAAATAGAGAAATAGATTCTATTCCGGTGACCGGGTATATCCACCAAATATGGACATCCATCGACCTACTGTACCCGCATTGACGGACGCTCAAGTTCCGCTTAACTTCTCCATTTACCTGTTTATCCAAGTGCGGTAGTAAAACAAAGTAACTTAATCGAAGAGAAGCATAAAATTCGAGTAATTTTATTCCGTACACGTCTTTTATACGACTGTGAAGATAAATGGAATAAATTGAAATGCAATGTTTCGAGGTTACAGTAAGAGGATTATTGTAAGACAGTATTTTGGTTAATTAAGCAATTATATTGATAATCTAAAATATGTTATATATAAAATTCTCGTATCACAATGTTAGTAAGAAATAGAAAAATCTTTATTCAAATAAACTTAATATAAGCACTTTTATTTAGTTATTGTGCTCCACCGAAACAGCTGGACCGATTTTTTATGAAATTTTATATGCATGTTCAATATGTCTGAAAATCGGCTACTATCTATTTGTCATAGCCCTAAGTGATAAGGGTTATCCACCCCTAACATTTTTTTTTACAATTTTTTTTTATAGATTACATACATATATAAAAAATATATGTAACCCTAAATTTTAACCCATCACCAACCCCTATTTTTTACTAACGATTTTAACATATCAAATAGTTTAACAGTGGCGCAGAAGACAATTTTGGCCAACTGTGGGCGAGTATTGTTTATTAATAATATTTTTTTGAATTATTGAATATGAACTTTGTTAAATTAGTCATACAGTATAAATTTAACTAAATGCAATAAT